CTGATATCTTTTGTGCCCAAAGAAAGCATGAGTGCAGCCAGACTTCCAATCCAGTAACTCCCTGCTTACTAGGTTTTTGCACAACTCTGGGACTACACTGAGAATACGGTGTGACTATCAGTGCAAGGGCAAAATCGGGTGTAAAATTAACATTCCCAATGGCTCAATTAAAATCCTTGAAAGCACGAGCAAACATCATCTCTCATTTTCATCTCATGTCTGTGTGAGCAAATTTGAGAAACAATATTACAGGCTGAACTTTCCCCTAGAAATATGCCCCGTTGGAATATCAACAGCAAATAGGAGTGCCAGCTCGGTGTGTGACATGCATGCTCAGTACTTGCAACGTACTGTGTATGCGTGCTTGTCGTCGGTTACACAACCCATTCACAAAGCATGTAATGAAAATCACAGAGCCTATTGCTCAGAAGAATTTTTTTAGCCCATAAAACCTTTGTTCAAGTGTCCCTTGCATAACATAATGGCAGTCATTTCAGCAATGTCGCCAGAGAATGTAATCCTGCATGCACACTTCCCATCCACAATTGGATAATTCATTCTAGCAAACTGAATTCACATAAATTTCCTATATCCTCGGGGAGGGGGGGTATACAGCTGGGGTGTTTTTCCCCGTAAATTTGTGCACAATACATGTGAAAAGCGACTGCACTTTTGGGAAGCTGAATGCCTCTCTGGAGATTGATATTGGTATCAGCGCTCTGCAGGAATTGTATGGAAAAAAAGGAAATAACTTGTCTCTTTACTTGGCATTCGGAACAGCAGTCTGAGCTGTGTATGTTGATGGGTGTGTTCCATTTAGTATGGCATCCCAGTGAAAATTGACATCATGTCGGAGCAAAATGTTAATAGTTGCTACTGATTTTGCACAGTTTCATATTCTTTCAAAGGGCTTCACCCTCAACTTTACACCTCAGTATCGACTTGTGAGTCATTTTGTTAGGATCAGTCGCACATTTGACAATGCTGCAAATCTGTACAGGTGCCCCTTTAACTGTGCCCAGTAGCCCAGGCCTCCTCAGTCCATGTCACCCATAATACACAGTGTTATATCACTGCTCCAAAGATTAATCATTGATATACTATTAGATTTAGTTCACATGTCCTGGTACCTAGACCCCATCTCCAGACTAGGGATTGTTTTTTTCTTCCCAAGCAAGCAGGGCTCAAGTCAAGGGGAGGAGAGATAGTGATCAACTCTTGTTTGTTACCACCTTCCTTGTTGACTCTGTGATTGCACCCTGATAAGCGTGGGGCAAAAAACACTGGCCAAAGTGCCCTGCAGTCTAGATGGTGCCCTGGATTTGAAAACTTGGCCCGAGGAGAACTCACATTTGCACTTCGAAAATAACCCAAATTGTACATTTCAGTGACACTGCATGTTGGGATGTGGCTCTTCGAGTAAAAGGCTGCATAATGCTTACCCGTGCCATGAACATATGGCCACTTATGTCTGTAGGAGACTGGGCGGGCGCAATTTTGACAGCATCGCACTTCAAAGCACAGCAACATTTGAAGCATCTTGAAGGTAGTCCATCTAACCATGGAGGAACGATCTAACAAGTCATGACACTGGAGGTTGCAATCAAACATGGTCCGACTTCCCCAGCCTTGTACACGTAATGTGATAAGAGAAAAGCACGATGCTGCATACAGGTGATTGATAATCACCCATAGCACTGTGGCACAATTCAGTCAAAACTTGTCACATTCTAGATCAGTGCAGAGCAACATTTTACCTGCAACGAGGTGCATCGACCTTCGCCAAAGTGGTGAAGGTTCTGAAACCTACATGTTCACGTACATGTACATTGCTATGGAAAAATGGGGAAAAAGACAATGCTACATAATTTGTCGCATACATATTATATGTAGGACAAAGCAGTCACACTACGTATGCTTATAGGACAGTGCAGTTCAGTTTGAACGTCATGTTCATGTGCATTCTGCGTGTGAGTATTTTGTGTGTAAACCAATTGAGAGGTCTACCATGCATTCCAACAGCTGCCAACATTCATGAACATTTGTAAACACGAACATTAATTTCACAATCAATATTCCGTGATTAAAACTGCCATGAACGATTGATCTGCGGTAGGAAACAACAAATTCAGCAAAAAAATTACTGGTACCGGTACATGAACAGAAGAAACAAATGCAAGTATTTGGACCAGACCTTTTAACAAGAATGTTTTTTGAAAAGCTTCTGTGTAGGGTACATGGGCAAAGCATGGAAGCTACTGATTTTTGTGCTCAACGTGGCTACCGACGTCCATAGACACGACAAATCCATATTGCATGAAAAGGCAATCCCACTACTGTATCAATTTCCAACAAAATTCTATGTATGTGTAAGCCCCAGCTATTGTAAACCTTTTCAGGGACTGGTGGTAGGCTGGGGGCTTCAACTGCTGTATTTCAAGCAAGGAAGTGACAACAATTTATGCTACATGTACAATCATTGCTCCGTCCCCCTAAAACTGCAGTTGTCAAGTGCAAGACCCAAGACAATGGCTCGGGAGAGCGTTTGAGAAAGATTGAGCACACACACACCACTAAATGCCTCAAGCACAGCATTATGCTAATCTCTGTCCATTATTAAAAAAAAAAACCGAGGGGGGAGGAATAGTTCATTCTGATTCTCGCTTGGTCCCTCTGGGCACAACGAAGCAGCTCCTGAATGCTAAGAGGGGTAAGGCTTGCTTTAATTAACCAGAATGGTTTTTAATAAACGAAGAATAAAAAGTGGGAGGAAGGGCAAGGGGGAGGGGGGGAAGAGAAAACCCCCAAAGAGTGCAGGTTCTGAACTGTGCACAGTCATTACGGGCAATGGCGGCAGATTAGTCCGGTGAAAGCTCATGGATTAACCAAGGGGCCTGGTCCCCTGGGATGACCATGATTGATTTCTGAAGTCCAGAACTGTGAATTTTTTTTTGGAAGGGAAAAGGAGATTTTTAGAGATGCAAGGAAAATCTTATTTTACAAAGGAACACTTTGGGAAGGGGTTGTTTCCCATTTTCGTGGGTGCTTTTTGGGGATGATTACCACAAGCTTTTTTTTTTTAAACTTATTTAATAATTAATTCTTCTTCAGATCACTGAAAAATGTTAAAGGCATGAGCTCCCTCTCAGAAATGTCATGTGATTCCATTGGTATTGCACAAATGCATCAGTACAACTCTCATACAAGACTTGAGACTGTGATGCATCTTGAACAAAAAGCCTAACAACTAACAGGTTTGGCACTAACAGGCAATTGTGTAGAGACCAAGGACATACACACACAGCAAATTTTCCAAGACTCAGTGTCAGTGAGATTATACTAGATTCACCAGAGAAGTCACTCTGTCTCACAGTCAGGAGGTGAAGGCCACAGCAACTGGTATTTTGCCAAGGTCTCAAGAAAGCCATCCAAGTGCCACCATTACAAATGATCCACCCCCCACCCTTCCCTCCCCCCCCGCTGTATTTTGAGAGAGTAGCACTAACTTCAGATTGTTCATTATGTGTGCAGTACAACATGCAAATATTGTATGATAATTGTCCACTGATGCATAATCTGCCATTTAGGTTCCAACAATAGAGACACTCATGTTGTAACTCTCTCTTGAGGTATGTATAAAGAACTCTGATCAACCGTCTAAAATCCCCAAATACAACGCTAAGCATCAGTGGCCCCCACGAGGAGAACTTGTGTACAATGCAGGCCTTAACAATAATTTTTAACTACTTGTCCATCAGGCAAGTAGCTCTGAAAAATTTACTTGCCCGAGGTAAGATTTTACTTGCCCAAAACCTGGTTTAGTTGTTCATTGCTTCACAGAACAGTAAGTTCCTTCTTCGCCACAATACAACATGAATATACATCACCCCCAACTATTGCGGCTATGCAGGGAGCGTGCACGACTCTGATGCATCATTCATACAAGTTTGGGCAACAGCTATTTCTTAAAACCACTCAAAGATTTCACTTGGTGTCATATTTGCAAAAAGTACACACACAAGTACCAGGCAAAATTCACTGATGTTGAAGTCATAGCCAGATGTAAAACAGTCTTTGAGCTTTCAGCTGTCAAAGCTCCGCTGTGCCGCGCGTGCAATAACCAATGAGGTTTGGTACCCTGGGTATTTTACAGTTTATTTATGTAAGCATTTTCCCTTGTGTGGAAAGGTGCCCTGCTAAATGTACACGTAACGATGCAAATAATCATTGCACACCACACAGCTGTACACTGTTTCCACTTTTTATAAGCTTTTTTTGAAAACGAAAAAACAAATCAAAGGTATTAAAATTTACTGACTGCTATTTTTCGCCATGAAAAATGGACACTTTTATTTCAAGAAAAAAGTAACTGTCCATCGGGCAATTTGTCCTTAATTTTTACTGGCCCGAAAGAAAAAATAGCTTGTCCCGGGCAATCGGAGAACCGTTAATGTCGAGGCCTCGTACAATGTGTGTATACACGTACAATTCAGAAAAATAGACAAAAAGATTGAAAAGGTGTGACATTTTTACCTCAAAGTCACATCCAAAACACAGATGTCAATGAGAGCTTTTGTCATCAAGCCCGGGAGTCGGTCTCACACACACAAAAAATAAACACGCTCATGGTGATAACAGGCAAACTGCTGCACAAGAAGGTGTCGGGATGTAAACAATAAATATGGCTGATGTAAAAAGGAAAATAAATAGCGTGCTACCACCAAGACAGGGCCGAGGCAGAATGGGTGACTGGGGTTACCCCCTCACATTTCAAGGATGCCATACTGTTTGCCAAGTTTCAAAGAGTTCATGCAAGGATTATTTCTTAAGATGCACTATTTGTGGCCAAACGTTACACTCCTCTGCAAAAATTATGGGTATGCATTTGACATGGGGGTGGGGATTCTGTGAAAATTTGGTGCAATTTTTTTTGGGTGAAAATTTCCAGAAGAATAGGTGGGGAATGAAGGGAGAGGCTGTCGCATGTACAGGGTACTTACAATAACAGTCTTTTCACGTTGCGAGCGCTGGGCCACCTATCAGGGAGAGTCTGGATGCGGTTATTACTGATGTCCCTGTGGTCATGACAAACGAAAACCAAAAAAAAAAGAACTGAAGGTTAACAGCATCCTACAAAATCATTGTAAACATAAAAACTTTCATTTGTAAACATAAAAAGCATAAAACCTTCATTTGTAAATACACTTTCCACATAACATGACGTTCTTCTCATTTAATTCTTTTCCTGATACTCGGTCTATTCACTAATTCCAAGTATACCCAATCAGCAAAACTACAGCCCACTTTTTCTTTGAGGAGGACGAGGTGACAAGAACATGTCACACTGTGCGAAAGTACTGTATTTGTTGATGGAATTCTGCATCAAAAAGATGCAGCTTTGTTTCAATAATTGACCACTGTTAGCTTACTGCTCTTAGAAAATAAAAATAATTACCAAAAGACTTTGTAAGGGGCAATCTGCCACTACAATACACCATAACATTTAAATATTCAAATATATTACTTGTTCTGTCAGTTTTGTTTTGTATGCAACTTCAGGAATTTACGTACACTACACAACGTTACACCAATGGGACATATCAATAGGCATGGGTTTTAGTTTCCCTTCCCTTAACCACATCCCTAAACTCAAGACTACATGCAACCTTTCACTTAGATACAAGAAATAATAAATCTGTCCAGGGTGTCACTTCTACACAAACAAAATTTTGCCAGGAGTTGCCTGAAAAATATGGCTCTGCCATCTTTGCACATCTGTTTCCAATAATATTCACATGGGCCCAGGATCCAGCTGAATTCCTTCACACCTCATCACCACACCGGTAAGCTGGACGACCAGAACTGTGCCAGATTGGCTCAACACCAGTGCATCATTGCAACTCTGGGCCCCCCAAAAAGCAGCTGCAGGAACGATTCCCCAACAAAATCTCAACCGTGAAAAAAAAACAAATACTAAAAAAACTATAAGGGAAGCCAAGAAGCGAGGAACCAGGGGTTTGGTCACATGTGCTGTACAGCTTATTGAAACTACATGTATACATACATGTATTCGTATCACGCCCTGTCAGAAAGGCTTGGATACGTATTTGATGGCCAATTGCTTTTGACATCTGGACAACCAAGGAAACACATGTACAGCGTAATTGATCCTATTCAACATCCCGTGATTTATGTGTGTACGGCATTAATGCAGTCTCACACCTTCACCTTTTAAACTGAATACAGACATGGTTGTCCAGATATATGACTCGCCATGATACAACTGTTCATCTCAAAATCAAAGCTGCCCTCTCTTCGGCCATACATGTAAATGCAATGCGAGCACACTCTTCATTTCAGCGTACACGGCGTACATGTATACATGTACCTGCCTGCAACACCAATTGAGCCTTGGACGTGGGGGTGGCCCCCACATGAATGGAGTCAGAGTAAATGGCCTAATGCTCTCAATGGACGCAAAGCATTGGCGCACCAAGCTAATTGAATTTGCAATTTCAAAGGGGGGGGGATCCACTGAATGAACAGAGTGCTGGAACTGCATTTCTACAAAGCTACCTGCTGCCTGTTCTCGTTGTACAGCATGTCGTTACACCAAGTTTTGCATGATGTTTTCCTCTGTATTCGACACCGCATAGGGAGTGATGCCACACTTCTTGGGTTGGTCACTGTGTCATGCATGCCCAAACAACATGTACATGTACATGTGTGCCTCGGTGACAGGCAATTCTGAGCAAATATCGGCCCAGAGGTCAAATGTTGCTTTCCCCAGAAAAGAATCATATTGGGCACCGCTACGGAGGCAGTGATGTTGGGGAAGACCGACACTAAATAACAGACAACAAGGCCTTTATCTTTACAATGAACATTGTACTTTATCTATGACTGCTTCTTATTGGCCAACTTTAGTGAGCTTTTATTCCACGTTATACCCAACAAGGAAGGTTACAAAGGCCTCGGTCTGTCACTGTGGCAACGCAATAGCTTTACCTGATCCTTACCATGCCCAAATTTCGAAAGAAATCTCGGAAACAGAGGGCCACTTTCGATGAAGAAACTGCAATTAAGTTCAAGTCCCAATTCACTACCTCATAATAAAGTTATAAAAGAGGATAAAACGTGAAAATCAATCCTTTCCAATGTGTACTGTATATGCTAGTCTGTTGCCCCTGAAATTACCGAGCCACATCATGTACCAAGAAAACACTGCAAAGCGCATTAATGTGTTGAGCAAAAACTGCCAGGAACCAGTCACAATGTACTACCAAAAATGCCCTCTACATGTACACCTGGTGGTGGCGCACTATGGAGTGAATCGCCCATATTCAACTTTCCCCAGTATGCTTGTTGTAATGGATGCACAAAGCCGTTACTAATTATCACACTTTAGAATTACAGCACATGTATTTGAACAATTTCATCCACAAAGTCTTGATACAAAGGTGAAACCCCTTTATGTTGAAAAAAAGGGCAGGTGTGAACCACTCCAATTTTCCAGATGGGATTAAGCAATTTGATCACAGCTACAGGAGCCCTACTGCAAACACTGGTGATCCCTCCTCCAGCATCTCAGACATGTAGGGCATGGCACCCTACCACAGCCTCATCAAATAACAATAGACAGCACCTAATTACACAGCCCCCCATCTGAATTATTGACCACAGATCAATCTTCTCAGTGCCAGGGCAAAAGGTATTAAGCATTAATCCTATTCACTCCTACACAGGGCATTTCACACCTATCTTTTTATGACTAGTTATTGACCTTGTATATTTTCAGTTACCTTGTGTGGTGGACCAGGACTCCAGACTGGAACAGGTAAGGTTTTAAAGGGAAAATAATGGGTCCATACAGATAACAGGCAAATATTGAGGAGACCAATGGAGACACCTGACCAAACAGGAACAAAAACCCAGCTGTTCTTCTCCACCCACTGTGTGCTGACTGGGTAGTGTTGGATTCTGCAACACTTGATCAGAAAACAAAGTTGATTTTGGCACAGGAAGATAATCGGGCGGTGATGCACAACGCCATTTTGCATCACAGGAATCAGACCCATTAGAAACAGCATAAAGGAATGCTAAAACATTCACATTGGTCATAGAATGTTTTTCATTACATTTTTTTAATGCCCGCAGCCACCACATACAAGCAGCAAATTTGAAAACTGTGGTTGTACACAACACATCTTCACCGAATGCCTAAAGGAGAAAAATGACGAACACCAATTTGTAGGGCTGAGTCAATTCAAATAATTGACTATTCGAATATTCGACCTTCAATTTGATTGAACATTCGTTCCTTAATGAACAAACCACGTATAAAATCAGTCATATTAATGCAGACAGTTAAAAAATTTTAATGACTATAATAGCTCCTCACTTTTATTTCAAGTTGAAATTTTGTCAAGAAAGTTTCATCATATTTATTTCAACAAAGTTTGCATCAATACATATTGATTACAAAGAGCACTTTCTTGGCACATCCATATTTTCTTGTTAAAGCTATTTCCATGTTCTCGGATGGATTCTTTTGTTGGACTGTTGGGCATATCAGCTGCCTTCAAGTGTCTGGAATCTGCTTTAAACAAGTCTTCACGGTGAGATTTTTCTCATTTAAAAAAGGAAATTCTCCCTTCTTTTTTATGACTATTGCATTCGAATATTCAAATACAAAATAATCAAATATTCGATTATTGATCGAATATTTGGCACAGCCCAATCACTTTGTTCAATATGAGTTTACCGACACAGAGGTTTTTTCAAAGCAAATGTTAAATGCCTTTTAACTGCTCAATTTAACGCAAACCATGAACTTAAATGCAAGTTTTCTGACTTCATGGATGGTCATGTTCGACTTACTAGTACATGTACATGCACAATATCATCATCCCCTTTTAAAAAGGGCACTGGCAACAGACAACCTCTCAGTAACACAATATCAGTATCACCATGTCACAAAGGTTCTAAATAAAAAACTCTTGCCGCGTATCCAGTGTCACAGTTGTGTGTCACCCTCAGAGGGAGCAACATTAATTTTTTATTAGATAAAAATGCCAGCACTCCCTCCACACACCAGCAGGCAGGCCAGCCAAAAGTATCTGCCACATTGCCGGGGAAAAAAACACACACAAACAAAAAAAGGCACAGAGAAAATATGTGTGCGAACACAAAACCAACAAACACAGATAATCAGATTTGGAAGGGAAGGTTGTTTTTCTTTTTTATATATGTATAATTTTTGTCTCATCTAGGACAGGAGGGGATTGCCAACTTGAGGCGGCCCCTCAGTTGTTTGGTTCCACGCTGAGACTTTTCGCACCTGCCACACTGCCAATAGGTTCCCCCCACAATGAAAGTGGATATAGAGACACCAGAAGGAGAAAAAAAAAGCATAATAATAACTTACATGTTGGATTTACTGTTATGAAATGTGGTGGCAGTGGTGATGGGGGGGTCCCTGGAACTGTCAATTATGACACCTGCGAATAGTTCTGCTGACCTCCTGATGGGCAGGCCATGATTGATATGGGCAGGTATATCACTGCATTTTTATGTTGTCTAATTTGATTTGTGTTCCTGTGAAATTGAATTTCATTTATTTTTGTTGGACATTACCGGCTGGAGAAGAGAAGGTGAAAGTGCTCGTCAACTCGGGAAGCTGCACACGCCATGTGCCTGCGTAAGCACTCAGCTATGCAGCATTCCGGACTCAATGTTTTCCTTTTGTTCGTTAAGAGGTAAGCCTTTGCACGATGATTTCTCTCTCAGTCTCTGTGTTTTCTTTTGAATACGATCAAAGTCTCCACAACTATTCGTTTCCCTCCTACGGAGTGACCGAGTTTCAGTCTGAAGCCCACGGCAATTCAAGTGCTGGACACCAGTGCTATGGGGGTCAACAAACTTCCCTCCACAAGCTAGAGTCCGTTAAATTAGAAAGGAAAGCCTGTGCATAGAATGCAGTTTTAATAGGCACCTGCACTGTTTTGGAGTAAAACTGACAACCTTGTTTAAGGCTCAAATTAGGAGAGTTGAGGATTCATTCCCAACCATCATTCAGAAAAGCATGCTCAAACATTCCTCAGCAGGCCATTCAGAGTTACCGGAGCGGTGCCAAAGCAATAGAACACTTCAGAGGCTCCATTCACTATCAGAGAATTTGCTCAACCATGAAAAGTGAGTTGTTGAGGGGGGCCCAAAAAGAAAAAAAAAAGCTCCAGTTGGCCTTCATGAGGGGTGTACAAACTACACCCTCCAGCTACTGGGGGCCAGGATGGGACAAAAGGGGGACTTGCTGTAGGGCGCGAAAAGCGATCAACGCACACAATGCAGCTCCCCACAAGTCTCACAATTAATCTTTGGGGCGCAATTGTGTGGTAACACACTACACACTGGTGTGGCAACACGCTGTGGTGGCTGGATGGGCCAATGTAGACAGGACAATAACGGCATCCCAATTCAAGGGAAGAAGTCTGTTGAGAGGGCTGCCCAGGTGCTCACATGCACAGTGCATGTACAGGTGTGTTCAAATGGCACGAACAAGGGCTCAGTGTTGATATACATGTACATACAGTTGTATGACCAAAAACACAGTTAAAAGTTACTGCTGTTAACTACCTACACAGTATTTCCCAAGTGGTTAATATCTAGGCTGTTACTCAAGTAGGGCCAACACTATAATTCTGTTCTACTTAAAGTGTTGAAAATTTTTACTTGTGTCTACTTCTTCCATTGTGGTTGTATATCTTTCCTCAGTTGGTTTCTAACTGCATTTCAAACACTGTGGATTCCACTCAGAGAGCTTATAAACCTCTTGAATTTTTCTGAAGCAAACCTAAATTTTATGGCTTCTTCTCAAGCAGTCCCTGCTAAGTCCAGGATGATCCAATGCAATGCTCATAAAATACAGGGGCTTAATTTTTTTTTTCTTATCTCTGCAGAAAACAGACCCAGCTGATTCTTGATGGCAGTTGGGTCCAGCTGGATGCAGCAAGTTCACAATTCAATAAGTAGTTCGGGAGAAAAAGCAGAACTTTATTGACAGATTCATAAATATTCATGATTGTACAGGTACTTGGATATGGGTACGGATGAAGTTGAACACAACCAAATGATGTGTGCTGGGAATCAACACATTTTCAGTACTCGTTCCCTTTCCTAGACGGGCAACACATATTGCTTTAACTGCCTTAAGGCAAATTTCAATTGGTTTTATTGCTTACATTCCAACACCCAAGATAAGACAGTAGTAAGACGTCCAAATTACAATACAAATGTAAATGCACCATTGTAAATTTGTTCTTGTGGGCCCTTGTAAGTCATCCTCTCAAAAACCAACAATGTTGTAAAATCTATAATGTACACGTGGCCCAGTTTACAACCCTAACCCATGTTTCAACATGTCCCAAATCCAAATGCCGATCATTTCCAATTAATACGCTCCTTGTAGAACATCTCAACTGTCTGTTTCTTTCCACTCCATGCCTCCGTGGTAAACTCCTGTTACTTTCTTTCATCCCGGGGGACGTGAAATTCTGTGCCACAAACAGGACAGTGGGAGCTGGCATGTTTTCATTCATAACACCCCCCCATATCCCAGAACTGTAATATTCCTCGTAATGGAAACCAAATTTGTCTCTCTCTTTGGACAGTGTCCTGTTTACGTCACATCAAAGCTTCCTAAGAGCAATGTACCTGATTGCATGAACTTGGACCCTCTTAAATGATTATTTTCATCCAAGGTTAGAATTTGCACATGTACATGTATTTTACACCTCATCAGGATCTAGGAATTCTCCAAATAACATTGCATAATGTAGTAAAAAATGGGTTCGATAACTTAAAAATGCACATGGTGGCATCATGTTTTTTCAAGGTCCCAGTGCAAGTCCAGTGATTTACAATGTATCTCAAGTGTTACAATGTAGTTTTTTTCCCCTTGAAGTTCGGCCAAATATTTTACATTGTATACATGTACATTTCAGTGTATACATTGCATTTTCCTGCATCCAGGGCAAGTAGGCCTATACTATGCTGATCAGGTCCTGCTTATCAAGCAAGGCTGGAAAATGCTGGAAAGTATTCTCCCAATGATTTTGGACTTTCGCTTTGGTAAGCATCCAGGGGAAACAAACACAGTTTTACCATTCATTCATATATTAACATCTGTGGTTTTGTTGCACATTTCTGCTTAATGAAAACTAGACTGGACAACTTCTCCAAAAGGTAAAAGTTAGACATAGGAAAAAAATATATATGCAAAATCATTTTGTAAACTGTAGGCATGCCTACACTGGCATGCATGTCAATGCAGTACTTTATGTTGATCAATACAGCCTATCAACTATAGCAAATATGCAACAGCACATTACACATACACACTTGCATGGCAACCATGCAATAAATAACAGCTCCCAGGGTAAAAAAAAGGCAAAACTCTCCAGCAAACACCCTGGTATTATGCATGCCATTCCACGGCCGGCCGCCTGTCATACCCGACCCACCTCTAATAAATGATTTATGTACATGTACATGTGCACGTATGTGCACAGGTGTGCCACTCCGAATTTGTCTAAGAGCTCCCAGTCCATGGCCCTGCATTCATCGGCTTGCGACCCCTTGTTTGTTCCGACACACGCTGAGGGTTTGTCTTTCTTTTTTCTTGGCAGAGCAACATGACCCAACCAAAAGTAAGGGATGGCACATTGTGTATGTGAGGGGGACACCAGAGGCCTGTCAACAAGAAGATAATAGCCAAGCCTGGCAAATACGGATTTACACATGCACCATGAATAACTAATGAATCGTGTGTTGGAGAATACTATTACTAACTGACCTCCATAGCGGATTGCTTATACATACACTGTATATATGTACTGTACCACTACCTAACCATATCTATACAACTTGGCACTGCACCCATGTGGGTCATTCTATAAAAATCAAATGCTAGACGTGACAGGAACAGGAAAAAAATTGGACCCCAAATTTAAAGAATGACCTGTGTTTCATTTCACAATCTTAAGCCCAGGCATGCACATATCGTTGCTGTGAAAATCACCCAAATGCCAGTTTCCATTGCTTGTCATCATAATCGCATTAATTTAAGGAGACAAATTATTTTGAGACTACAGATATCCCGTTAAAAAGCTTGTTTTTAGCAGGAATACTAGAGTGAAAATAGTGGGCGAAGGCCTAGCTTAAAAGGCGAAGTCTACTTAGCATTCAGCTGGATGAGCTTGAGGGAGGGGGGATACTGGATGCTTATGGGACTTCACTATTAGGAGCAATCTGTCCAACAATGGAATGTGGCATGTATAAGTCATTTCACAGCACACCTCCAGTCTATTCATGGTTTGAAGTGCGCTACTGAAAAGGAGAGATAAAATATAAAAAACACCACTAATGTTAAGGTTTGCATCAAGGCGAAAAATGCTCAAGTTGCTTAGGTGCTTGAGTACTGTTTTTAACAACCATGCTAACTTCAGCTGCAGCTTGCGAGCAATGTCTATGTTTAACATCTAGGTTGGCCCAAAAGTGAATATAATCAACAACAACTACAAAAAAGACTTTGCTAGATGAACAATAAAAAATCAAATTCCTTGAACATCATTGGAAGCCTTCTCTCTGTCACCGAGTTGTCCAGTTTGTAGATAATGCAGTGATGTGCCCACAGAACCACCAGTAAATATGCCCCACCCTCCAAAAAGATAGAATCCACCTGGGGTTCTACTTTGCCAACTGCTGAGTACAAGGCTAATACTTCCTCCAATTAATAAGAAGACATGGGCTGGGGAACACACATGGGCTTGGAACACAATATTGCAGGGTCACTGTGCCACAGTCCATTTGCTACCCCAATCACATGCTCATATCACAAATTGAGCTACGAGAAGCAATGCTATCCTATGTATTCAAGTTCTCCATGTACATGTATAGGATGCGGGCCAACATTCCAAAGCAGAGGACATCTCCCCCTCCTCCACCTCCACTATTTACTAACACTGTTAGTGTCATCACCAGAGACCCGTGACAAATGAGGGAATTCGCTAGCAATGTAAGGCACCCGGGCCATACTACATAAAATGGAAAAGAAAAAAAAAAATGTTTGGTCTGGCAGCATAGGCTCCGCTCCACGTTTTCTTTTCATTTACACGTGAGCATAAACCGTATTGCCAATATGGACTTTGTCAGATTAATTATTAAAGCTACACATTATATGGTGCAGCAACACCACTCTTGAAAAAAATTCTGTGCCTCTTGCACAAGGGTTTGTTGAAGAGACAGGTGCAAGTTCTATGTACTCGGTTGGTAGCAGTTGATAAATCTGTCTGAGCATGCATGTTCATTTTGCTGTTGGCTTCACCTTCACATTGTAAATCAGAAGCAAAAGCACACCTGCAAATTATCTGACTTCCAAGATTAAAAAAAAGGGGAGGGGGAGTTAACCAAAAGTCCTTGGGTAACAATTTTACCTTGAAGATGTGCAATCTACTGGCATCCGTCCAGGATTTTTTTTCATAACATTTCAAATGTTTTAAGGGATAGAAAAGACTAGGAGAACATGAATTACATTTATTGGCCAGCTAGCTGCTGCGCATAATCTTTCTTCAAAAATGTTTCTCATGCCGCATGACAAATGGGCCTTACTCTTTACCATCCATCAAACCATAGATCTCACCTGAACTGCTGTGCCCTCTGCATAAAGAACGGCCATGCATCACTGCTCCCACACCGACAAGATAATTACCGCTCAATACAAGTGCATGGGAATTTCAAACATGCTGAATGAATTTCACTTTTATTATTATCATTATTCTTTTATTTACCCGGGGTAAGTCCAAACAGCCAAACCCAATTTCCATTGGAGCCCTGCAATCATAAAACTAAGATTTAAAAAGGGTAAACATAGGATGGGACTGAATTAAGTCTGAACATAAAAGCGGTTAAAATTATTCTTATATAAATACTTCTATGTTAAAATCAAAAAAATTAAAATTAATTACAAAAAAGTGAACCACGGAGACAAATTAAGGTCAAAACATAAAACACTCCAAACACTTCAGTTAAAATTAATAAAGGTATAAAAAACGTGCCAAGGAAAATAACTTTTTGTTGACCCTGAGAGGTTCATGCACAGCGTGTAAGATGCTTTCTTGTTAATTACTTTCGCACACCTCGTGAACACTTTAAAAATCATCTCATATTTACAACTGAACTTTTCTGGAATGGTAAATTGCCTTAGAAATTAAGTTTGATTACAACTACTGAGTGTCAATCCACATCCAAACTTGTGTGACAATGTGGTCCATACATACATGTACATGCAACATCATAAGAAGACAAGAACCAAGCTGGTGTTGACATGCACACAATGTGTCACACATGCACCCAAACTCGTTCCGTTTCATGTGGTCTGTGCTAATACACATCCGATGGATCGCACATTGTGCAATGTGGGGACCATGTGTTTCAGATTTTTGGCATTATTGGAAGACCTGAGACCCGAGTTGATGGAAGCCGGGGCAGCGGAGCAGAGCCCAGCCCCAGCCAACCGTCACTGCAATGCCAAAGCTGGGCGGAGCGAAGAAGTGAAAATGAAATGCGATACCAGTGATGAGGGACTCTGGAACCCCCGCTCTGAGAGGACGGCAAAAGGTGACAAGCTACACAGGTATTTCCACACAGCTCTGCTACTGCCTTGTCAGGAGGGGAAAAGGATTATAAGAGAGGCTGAAATGCACAGGACCATGACCCAAAGGAACCAGTCGTCTCCTTGAACTTGCAACTTACCACTAAACTTGCAATCCATCGGTACTGGTACCAGTACATGGAGATTCATAACAAATATACGTTCAGTTTGTGCCTTTTCTGCACTGCTTGGACAGTGGACATTTAAAATGTTGTGGTTTTAAAACTTAAAACCTGGGTGAAGTGCTCTTTGATTTTGATTGAAAAGCATTTTCCACAGGACAGAAATGATGGAGCTTTGATGTCAACCTTAGCAGTTCCATATAATCATCACCATGATTTACGCAAACTAGGGCTGAGCCGAATATCCGAATATTCGATCAATTACCGCATATTCAAATATAATTTTCAGAATTTGAATACTTCAATGCAAAATTCATAAAAAAAGAAGGGACATGTTTTTTGTTTTAAATGAGAAAAAATTGAAATATGGAGGCTTGTTTCAAGCAGATTTAAATGAAAAGTGACAGAAATTTTACAACAATTCTAAAAGTAAATTAATAATTTAGAATATTTAAAAGGAACAGACGTTTACAACAGGACAGGAAGTTTTGTTCCTCTCTAAATCTTGCTAAACCGTGGCTGGAAATACTCCTAGATGCAAGAAGTTATTATAGTGATTATAATGTATTGTGTGCCTCATTACAACTGATTTTACATATGGTTCATTCATCAATTATTTGCTGGCCGGAATGACCAAATATTCAGATATTCGATCGAATTGCAGGTTGAATATTCGAATAAAGAATTATTTGAATTGACTGAGCCCTCACGTAAACTGTGGTGATTAAAGGTGTTACAAACAGCATGAAAAATGCAGTTTTAATGATCTTGGTGGTGCCTTTGAACCAATTTGGAAGGGTGGATAAAGCACTTTTTATTACCACATGTGTAACTGGATTTAGAAACATCTGAATAGCACAGACTGTATTAGAAAATTGGAAGAGGCTCCACACATGTATATATTAGCTGAGATTTAGTGGTGAGGAGTACAGTGTTCAGCAATTCAAGATCCTACAAATTCAAAGTGGTGGATGGCCCTGGTATCGAGCACATCTCCCACAATTTGTCCTTTAGCTAGCGCTTCTTAAATTCAAAACTGCAGTGCGCTTACTCCGTCTCGGTGCACATTATCCTCTTCTGCATGCTGGCCCCCGTCCAACACATCATAATACTCTGCATGAGTTCACAGATCTGCCCGCCGCCAACCTGAGCAGGGTTGGAGAGGAAGGGCCGCCAGGCACTCCGCTCACCAGCAACTGACGCGTGCAGTAGCAGAAACTGGGCCGAGCAGGAACTGGATAACAAGCCGTGCTAGTTGGTACTGCGTGTCAGGTTTGGCAAGCAGGTACATTCTGCTCACACACCCACACACACATGTACTCCCCAAAATGTACATGCACAGGTAACAAGATTGGCCTTGAAATTGGTTGTCTCATTTTCAGTGGCTTCCTGTCCAATGAGGAATCTTAATATCCTAAAACTCGAGTATTCAACATCTTGCTGACTTTGGTAAATTCTCAGAGAGGGTACATATCTGGTACATGTAGGCCTTCCATAGTTCCTGGCATGGGATTTTTCTACCTGTAGGTGGCTTTCGGAAATTGCACTTAAAATTTGGAAAGTTTCAGGTAACCTTATCGGTGTGTGGCTCTTCCACGATAAGCTATATGTAGCTTTTTGGACGATTGTTTCATGTCTTTTCCACAGATGAAGCTACATGTAAAACAACTGATGGGGCTTAAAAAGCATTACAAGGAAGAATTTATACACGTACATGTACATTATAAAGGCACCGCAAAATTTCAATTTCAATATTTGAGGAAACAGAGGAAAGTTGTCACAAAGAGAACAGGAATATTATTCAGTTCTTACATATCTGATATATAAAACAAAAAAATACTGTTAACGTGGAGGTTTTCTTCATAAATTTGACACAGGCAGTCGAGAAAATTAATTTAACTCCAGGACGGCAAATTAAACACGAGCACTCAAATTCATACAAACAGTCAAATACTAGCAATCGACACAAAAATGCAGTTATTTTCCCCTCTTGTTAGACATCCATGAGGCCTGGGACTGTTGGCAGTCCATGCAAGGTATCTCACACATGCAGGCTGTACTAAGCAGAGGGAAGGGATAGGCAAGGGAGGGTGTCAGGGGCTTCAAGGTTTTGGTCAACATCTCATTAAGGCTGGCGTACATGCACTGTACATGTAAATGCAGGAAAGCATACACTCCTAAAAAACACGGGTGAAACACACGTCACTGTACAACTTTGTTGTGTGGTAATTTTTTTTTAGAATAAGAATGGAAGTGCGAAATTCCAAAACAGTTCACAAAGGTTTTGTCGGATGAAGGAAAACCTTTTGTGAATCTTCAGTGTGCTCCTGCACCATCATTCGGGTAGAAAATACTGCATTTATTGTAATGGCTGCGGCGCATTTGTTCAATACTGCACAGTGCAAAGAGCAAAGTCAGCGACTCCTAAGCAAACCCATAATGAGACAAACAAAGTCCTTCAGAGCATTTATATGTTAGGCAACAGGGTCTGTTTGTAGTCTACTGAATTGCCTCATTCAAGGCACAAGGTGTGAAAAGGCCAAGGTACATTAAAAATGCAGGCTCTAATGTGCATGCAAGGGCTGTGCGATTAAACTGATCAAATCAATTGATAAGGCAGCAATGGGAACTTCTGCATGAAAAGATCTATGCATACTCCAGGGTTCCTTCATAAAAAGCAAAATAATGCTGCTTCATGAATTACCTTCTTTTTGACATGCCATTTAATGTGCATTGTAAAGTTACATCGAGGAGGTGCATGAAGATGTAATGAACGTAAAACTTAAACATCCCTACATGTACCTGCTTGTAGCCATCTTACAGTAAACACTTAACTATGTTCATGTATATAAATGCAACAACATTCTTTCACAGCTTTCTAGAGTTGGAGACAGAGAAAAAGAAGAAAATATATATGCACAAGTAGCCTGAATGTCTGATCAAAATGCAGATTTCCATTATAAATCAATAACGGCCAGCACTGCTGGTGTGATCAGGAGGTGCACTTGAAACTCGGCACTGAATGCTTTATCCATCAGAGGAGGAGGACAGAGTGAAAGCGAGACAGAGGGGAAGTGCAGCACTGAAGCAATAAAAGCAAGGTGTGCATGGCATGAATCTGACAAAATGTATACGAGTTGGGTGAATTATGGCACCATTAACCATCCGCTGATGGTTTATTCAGGTGAAGTTGGAGGGGACCCAACATGATTTAATGGCTCATGTTTATGCGCACCTACTCAAAAATAAGAAGAGGTGGGAAAAAAAACACCTCTGTGAACTTCAGAGATGTGAAACTGTGGGACTGTCTACACTTGTAATGGCAGAAATACACCCTGCCATGGGATCTGAGTGGATGGATGTCCAGCCAGTTATCATTTCTATCTGATCAGTGCATGAGTGGAGACAAAAGCCAGGGCAGACACTGCATTGCTTAGACCACTCGCATGTGTCGGAATGCCAGTTCCAATTAACGGTTTTGTTATGGGAGAGGATATCCAAAGGCCTGACAGACCAGACATGGCACCCAACTCAGGGAAAAACTGGTGCATCTACGGTGATTTGCACTCCAAAAGTCATCTGGGGCATGCATTACATTCGTACCAGTTACACTGGTAGAAACACAATTTTGCCGGTGCTTCCGGTGCACAGAACAGACCACATATATACATATGTCTGCAAACAACTGACTGCACATTTGGAACAAATTCTGTGCTTCAGAATATAAGTTAAACCTGTGCAAGCTTATTTCAAATTTAAGTCAATTTTGGGGGTATAGGTCTATCTGAGTTTTTCTGACATCAAATCTTCCTGAAGTGCCCCTTCAAATTCACTTTTGAGTTCTGACCTGATTTACTGACTCATTTGTTTTCAACTAGTGGACCTGAAATGACTCACAAAACTTTATGTCTTTATTTCCTCACAGCTTCACAACAGGAATTTATGAAAGTGCCACAGTGCTGGCTTTGATGGTCTATGCATTAAAATGTTTCAGTGCAGTGTAACTTGCTGCATTAGAAACACAGGCCATTATACCATAGACCTTCAGGTAAGAAATCAGAAAGAAAACACAGGAAAAGGCAACAGCCAAGAAAACAGTTTTCCTTCAAGTGTGAAGTTTTATTTTTCTAGGCACTGTTAAATCCTCACTGATCCAGTAGCATGATTGTTTAGATTGAAAATGGTTTCAGTTTCATGGCTACTTCACACAAACACACAAAACCACAGTAACTGCAACGGTGTCAGGGTGTTAAATCCTGTCAATATCTAGATCTCCAAATATGTCAAGAACTTCATTGAAGGGGTTGAAGTCCAACTTCTGGTATTTGCGAAGTGAAAAAAAAAGAAAGAAAGACCGCCAGAAAAAAAGGGGTTCAAAGTGGTGCCTGTTTGAACTATTTCTGCAGGGTAGTGTGGAATTTAGGGCAGCCAGTATAAAAGCGGCTACAGGAGGGCCAGCGGGCTGTGTGCCTTGACACTCAAGTGCATGTTGTATGGGCCGCTGTAATTGCAGCCCAAGTACACGATTCACACAAAAAAACCTCCGGGCTTTTGATTGCTGCCCCACCTCTGCACAATGGAAGTGCAGCCGAGGAAATGAGGTTCAGGGGGTTGACTACTATTGACCCACGCTGCTGCTTGATTTTTGGCGGATTTGCCAGGATACCGGTTTGGCTGTGTTGGGGCAAAAAGGAAGGAACATGAGCAATGCCTCATTGGTATCATGTTTCCCAGTGGCTTTCATTGGCAGTGTCAGGGTACAATCCTTTCGGTGTTGTTGTGGTACACACTACAACAAAAACAAGCACAGAGCAATTTCAAAGTTCCCGAGAGACAACTGGCCAGAGAATTTCAGTTGATCATGGTCAAAATTCTGATTGACAACTACATGTGACTCATATTATGAGCATCAATAATGCCCTACGGTGTAAGAGCACTTCTCAAACAATTTCAAAGTTAGTTTCTGCACAAGTTTCCAATGCACTTACATAAAACAGTTTTAAGAATTGACCTAAAATGTGCAATGTACCATAAAAACACCCACAGGGCATGCATTTCCAAGGAGGTACTTAAACGACAGGACTCAAATTAAAAATAGACGCAAACTAAATGGTATAATTGTACCATTTCAAGGGTGGTGGATTTTAATCAAGATGGGAATTATGCCAACTTTGCAGTGCAATATTTTGGCAAAATCTTCCTCAAATAAAATACCTTCGGTCACAGGACCATTTCCACTTTTAAAAACTGTTGTATGGATCATGTTCACCACACCACAAAATTTAATGTTTCAATTTGAACAACCAGCCTGTCATTAGGGGCATTACAAGCCACACTTCTTTATGCATGAAGTTATCAAATAGCTAATAGTCACCTTTTTGACACAAATCTAGGAGACGCTGGGTACTGACATACAATAAGAGACCAAACAATTGATACAAACCCTTGATGTCCCTTTAGGTCAACTACATTGTACCTTGATTGTTGAAATCTTTCAAAGAAGATATTAATTTGGGGAGTCCTGCCTACGATTCTGGGGTGGCTATTTTAAAGAGCTGCCTGTATTCATGTCGAAAAGTCATGTAATTGCTGTAGTGGATGCAATTGGTCAGTCTGACCCTGAGCAATCAGGCAGTCACTGCAATATCAATCTTACGGCACAATCTGTTGATGCTTCTGCTTTCAGCTTTCTTATTCATGACTGAGGAAGACTATTTGGAGAAGGGGAAGTTAGGTCTGATATTTCTGACAAGTTTGATGCGGTGCGATCAACCAATCACACCCGACAATGACAATTATACCATTTTTAAATAAGCAGTTCTAACAGACATACACCATCCTTGGCCCAGTAACGTGACTCTCAACCAGAAAATTCTACACTTATAACCTCTACGCACAAAACATGCTTGTACAGAAATGCTGCACTATCCTGGTAAATGTACATGTACACAAGCTGCAAAGCACAACATCCTTGATTTCTGCATGTGCGTATACACTAACATTCCCTTACTCTAAACCTATGCCGTGCCTCATAAATTTGATAAGCACAATTAAACGCACCAGATCCTGTAATCCTACATGCCCAAATTAAGAATTTGGGAAGAATACTATAAACGGACATCACAAATGTTTCCCTGATGTAATCAGCAATTAGAAAGCGATAACAAGTCCTAATATGCTAAATTATGAAGGGAAAATACTAAAGCATGAACGTAGAGAAAACTTGGACGTAAGTATCTCGACCATTTGCCTCGTACTAGCCCCTTAAAACATGTTAACTCTGCACAGAGACAACAGGGCACGTACATGATGCCTCAGCAGAATGCAGGACACTGAACACGGATTGCGTCTTGATGTTTTTGGAGAAAAGTTGAATGTGTCGCGTTACACTGTGGCACAACACACCAGATTTGACGTGCGCTGGACCCAATGATGAAGCATACACAGGGCTGGAGGAGGGCGGGGTGGCCACACCAACCACTGCGGTGCTAGGCCAGGCCATGACAGCAACAAGGCATGCACAGTGGCACAGCGCGCCATCTCCTATCCCACAGTGCACAGGTGCCTTGGTCTAATCGATAATTATCGCTAGTCTGCCAGTGTGGAAGATGGTAACTCTGTCTCCATTCTAGTCAGGGAGTTTTTTCTTTCCTTTCTCTTTTGAAATAAGGTGTAAAGGTCTGGCCAAAGTGACTGTAAAGCGCATGTGTACCACTGGGCCTCCTGCAAGTCAACTTGTCTCAATGGATTAGATACCCAGTGATCAACTGGTCCCAACGTACCCTACCCCCAAGAACTCTGGAGTCCGAAGTCCGACCTGCTCCTACATGGGAGCAGGGCAGATGTCGGACTCCACAGTTCTGGGGGTAAATGTACCCCAAGTCAAGTTGGCAAACGGTCGAATGTCTGAGCCCTGAATTTTTCAGACCAGTTTTACCATGCTCACAGGGATTGTGCAGTGTGTCAAGCAATGTCCAAGTATCTCACTCTTTCCCTCGCTTTGCCACTGGCTGATAATGCTTGTGGGGAAGGGAAATAAAGTTTGACATTAACTAGAGGAGTAATCCACAGGGTAAGTTAACAGGCCAAGTATTGTATGAAGTAACCAAGAATTTTAGGATTTGAAGAGTCTACTTCAGTACTTACAGAATTTTGACCCAGTGCGGAATGTTCGATGGAACGGATGTCAACTGCCTCTTGTTACAGTCCACCATTTCTCCAAGGCAGGCACAAGGTGCAGGACATCTAACGAACTGTGAGTCTTGAACTTGACCAACAACTCCACCAACAAGTAACGTCAGAAGCCAGCAGAACCAGCACCAAAACACACACAGCCGTTGCATTGTGGTGGCTGGGACGGACGCCATCTTGCCTAGCGAGTCGCCCGGCCGCTTCCCCGCGGGAGCTTGAGGTCGAGCTGTGCTACACACAGCGAAGAGAGGTTGATCGAACGATGCAGCAAATCTGACAAATTGGTTGCCTCTCACTCACCTACAGGAGTCCAAATCGAAGCTGCAAAATCCAAGAGATACATCTTAACGTTAGAACGTAATCCTTCGTTTTGAATAGAAGAGGAATATCCAAGAAAATTCCAAGAAAGTTGACCGTTCGGGTAAGTCGTTAAGAGAGGCTATGCTGGTCCACTGGACGTATGAAATACATGTACATGTACAGTCTCGTACATACAGTGCTAGTATATTTACGCACGCATAGTACACGTACGTGAAAAGTATATGGCATGCGCGTGCGTGTTATCAACAGACAGTACACTTGAGTGGGCCATGGCCTAATCTCCTCATGAATATTGATTTAGAATATATTTTTAGAATCACCAATCAACGAAGCTGTCTTATGGAGACCCCACATTCCATAACACATAAACTGAATATCGATTGGACAGTATATGACCCAAGATTAGCCTTAGGCTCGTTCGGTACTATGCAAAGTTTTTATTTTATCAACGGCATGGAAAAGTAAAAACTTGTTTCTTGCATGCATGTGGGACCGGGACTGGAAATCAACAGTTAAACTGAAACATATTAGTTACGTCAACTCCAGGAATATCTATCCATATAATCCGACACAAAAATACAGCTAATGCAGCCGCGAGGTATGATAATTAATGAACATAGGAGAACGTACTTCGTGTTAAAACAAGAGTAATTAAATTTTGCCAAAATACTATTGGATTCCTGTTTATAAATTATACTACGCGCTTGCAATGATTCCCACTTGATCTTTGGTATGAAAAACAAAAGGAAAACAGAAGCAACCTGATAATTTTTATGCAACAAAAAAATCCCCACAAGGTCATTCAACGAACCGGGATGCAATGTCAAAACACTAAAACCGTTTGACCAAAGATTCCGGTAAATTAAAATGGCATACGCTGAAGCTTCTCGGTATAGGACTCATTTAACCAAAGTGACAGCACGTCTCTTCTCGTCAAGAAGATTAAAGTGTAAATTAAAAATGTGATTTTTTTATATATTGCAGTACATACTTTGGTGACGTGTAAACGGTCAGAGTAAACATCGAACCCCTTTGTGCTGCCAGCTTCATTATTGAGTCGATGATCAGTTCAAAATAACAGTACAGTCATTATAAAGCAACCGTTATCACCCCCCCCAAAAAAAAAGCTTTCAGGAAGCTGCTGTACTTCGCACACCTGAAAGAAGTATAAATTGTACTGTTCGACCAATGTTGTCGACGGTTTACTTTGGATTCCTTGCGGGCAGTTTTGAAACTCCAGTATTGATCAAAATAAAATAAAAGAAGTGACCATCGCGCGGGTATTTTACCAGCCTGCCGCTTTGGCGTTTGGTAAACAAATGGATAATGCACATACCACTTTAAAGGCGCTAAAAATGCCCATTGTGTTCTGAAGAGGGCTTTACGAAAAAGAGCAATGTGATCACGCAAATGAGGGAGGATCAAGGCTTCGGCAGTACCGTGCAGGTGTGCTTGAAAACAGTGGGTGGGGTAGCACCATAAGGGCTCTAATTATTGGCGTTCACGGGATCAAAAAGTAGGAGAAACCCGTCAGATAGAACAATAATTTAACGGCCAAACTGCATCGTGGTAAACCGTCACGTGATGATTACATGAGCGCACAGATAAAAAAAAATCGTGCCTAACGCACGAAAAAAGCAACTAATTTTTATAACTGTTAACTTGAAGATGATTGCAGAACACCATCTACTTGAACACATCTTGTACCGTGGCTACAACTTAACAGAAAAAGAAACATTTAGCTGGATAACAAGTACACATGGTGTATTCTAGGTGTACACAGTCCACTGAAGAAAAGTGTCACTTGCCCCCGTAGATGTATCACATTGCATCTGTACGGCATACAGGAACTGAATCGGTCAATTTGTCTCCATTAAGCCATTTCGTATCGAAAATTACGACAGTATTTCACGTAATATACACCGACAAAAATACAGTTCTAGAAATTGTAATATAGAATTACTAATGGAAGTTCAGTAATCGACCGGCATTCAAATCATCTTGCGGGTGAACATGTATGCAAGGAGTTATTTGAACGCTGAACCGGCAAACCTTATTTCCCATTGTTGCAACACGTTCACTTGCCGGGAACAAAGCTAGTCGATTAGCGAGTTCGTGACTGGGCCGGCGATTTGGAGCGGCCGTGTGATCTGAGTCACGAAGCCCGGGCTGCGATCAGACGAACCCGCACCTGTGGCCGCTACAAAGAAGACGGGAATAGCAGCCGTGACACAGATGATAATTCAGGATTAGGGCGTGATTAGGCATGCAAAGAGGGCAGCCCAGTGGATGATGATGGACGAGGCCCACAACCGCTTTCTCAGCATTGGAGGGGCGGCTTCATCTTGGAATCAAGTGATTGCTTTCCCTCATTAACCGCTCCAGTTCTCGTGATAGTTTCCCATAATCCAGAAGATTTGTGATCTGTTTCGCTTGAAAGTTCGACTTGGGTTCAAACAAAGGGGGCTTACAATTTAGAACATCTATAGCAAACATACAAAAAAAATTCTCGAAGTTAAAAAAACAACTTAAACACCAGTACTGTGGGACTTTGTCTCCGTATATTTTTGATTTCACGATTTAATCCAACGATTTAATCTTTCCATTGTCCTCCATTTTATGTGCACAGCTGAGAGTGCAAAACAAATATCACAAGGGATGGTTTCCTAGGATTTTTGTAGATTTTAAGGCGAATGCTAGTGTAAAATATTGTGGAGATGGACAATGCATTAACACCTGTTTTGCAGCATACCTAATGTGGTGTATCAATGACAATCTTCTGCAGTATTTCCCGTTTACTGCAGTATGTAACAAAATAGATGTTACATTTTCATTACATTACAAAATCATATGTCAACGTCCGTCCGCATGTAATTCATATATATTCAGCACACAGTCCAGGTGATGCTACATTCTTGCCATGGTCATCATTACTACTTGTGTTAATTTAAAATCACTTCAGCCTACTTGTTGATACAAGTACCGCTAAACACAATATCATAAAATTCTTAACACAATTTACTAACTCTAGTTAATTATTCCAAGGCAATCTGCTGTGAAATGGAGTCGTTAAAATTATTTTATGGAGAAGATCGATGCAAAAAAGGTCTATTTTAAAAGTGACTTTATAAATTCATTTAGGCCGACTACCGGCGAATTAGACATGTAAAGTATATTATCATACAGATACGTTAAATAGGTTTTCTCTCTTTCAAAAGGCTTTTTCAAAATGGGGGTACCAAGAAATCCGGTTTTCCTGTAAATCTGTATAACTAGGCATTCTGCTACTCAATATCATCACTTGACCACTGTCCGTCTTAATCCCATTCGCGCTTGGTATGTCTACTATACAGCACTCACCATTTTAGGCAAGGCAAGCAAACATGATAGGTCTAGTTGTTTTAATAATCTGTGGATAAAGAAAAGATCAAAAGTCGAGGCATGCACGCCCAATGATCCATGTTGCTGCACAATGTTGAACTTGGAATTACAGCTAAACTGACCTGTTATCCAATTTTTGGACACATATATCTCGGAATTAGAAATGAGAAAGCAGCCCTTATGGCATATCTAGGAATTTTGTAGCATGGCCTTCGAGTAATTTGAATCGAGGATCTAAATGTGTTTTATTTCATCATGAATAGTACAAAAGCTTGATCATGAGTCCCTAATGTACGTCTATGGACACTGAAAAGAGGGGGGCTACCAGAGTTCTAAGCTGACGTGCTATACGAAATCCTGATCATTTGAGATTTACTACGCGTGGGTCGGTCACTACATTATACCTCAAATAGAATTCCAATCTACTAACTCGGAGTGGTTCATAAATCTTTGCAGCGTAGACATCGCGACGGTCAAGTTACGCGGGGACCAATACTTGTATCGCTCACGACCGGACGGACGCTTCCTGCATCCCCGTCAGGCCGGCCTCACATCGCGTGCTCAGTTTTACCTCGTGAATATATTACCTTCTGACAATGTGCAGGCCTGTAAGCAGGTTTCGACAAGTAACTGATAATGTCATTTATCAAGGCATTCACTTACCACGGGTCTCCTTCAGTTCGCTACAGGGTAACAAGGAAGGACCCAAAATACCGAAAGGGCCGTCAGACCTACATGTACATGTACCTCTGAGGAAGAGGTTGCCTATGCTTGCGCTTCCCTCGTTCGTACTCAAACGCCCTCTCTGGTGACGTCGATGTGCATAACGGATCAACGCGTACCACATGCGCGGGATGAACATTCATTGATTGCGTGACACTGAGCAACTAAAACGTCTTTTTGGGGGGTGTAATGGTTTTGAGTACACCCAAGGTGGGGGGGGGCTTGAAAAGATACCATATACACCCGTACCTACGCAGCCGTGAATCCCGGTCCCCTGTGGCGCAAACGGGAAGTAGGGGGTGAACATCATAACCTCGGGGTAAATTCCGGTAGGCCTACGAGCTCCCTCCCCCAAATCCTGGGTGCGACACCGTCTGGGTGAAAGCCTGTCCCAACGTCCATAAACGCATGCCGCTGAATGCAGCTGAAGGTAAACTCGGCATGCGACTACTTGACCACGACCTCCCTGCTCTGGTCTTGATAAAAATCAAGGGTCCAAGCGAAGCGCAAGAAATCGAATCCAATAAAAGGGCCGAAGCGGCGATTCTGACGCGGGAAATGACGCAGGCTGGGACGTAATAATTTAGAAATATGCACAACGGGGTGTGGAACGGAGGGCTGCGTATACTCGCAAAACGATGACGGCAGCTTCGCCGTCAATCACTGGACAAATTCGTCAAACGACTAAAATATACATTATTATCACTCGAGCATTTTGCTATTCATCCAAAGCGTACACTCATATTGCCGCACATAATGGAACGCCAACACAAGATGAGTGACCTTCAACCATTACATACCAATTTGGTGAAATCTGTACAACCGGATTATTAAAGATTAAGAAATTAAAATATACGGAAATATGACTTGCTATTTCAAATAAATTCAAAGCTGTGTTAATTTGAACAGAATTAAGACGAGGGGTGGTGTTCATGTATAATACGGTTCCGTAGATGGGCTTGGCCAAATAAACTAATTTCTGACATTTAGTGGGCCAAGTTCCAAGCCCTCCCCTTTTTCTTATTTTGTGTGATTTTGCAGCTCCAAGCAAACCTCGTATT